AGTCCCAGCTACTTGGGAGGCAGAGGCAGGAGACTCGCTTGAGCCCAGGAGTTGGAGGTTACTGTGAGCTGTGATGCTACAGCACTCTACCCAGGGAGACAACTTGAGGCTCTTGTCTCAAAAAAAAAAAAAGTATGATCTCACATCATGGAAGAATTTTGGTGTCTCCGATGACAACCTGATATCAGTTGTACATACTGTAATTTACTAAAACAGTCAATACCTATTGCTAGAGATGTAGGTTGTACTGAACTTTGTGCAAATAACATTGGGATCTCATCTTAGACCATGAATTTTTATTTTGATCTATTTCTTTGGCATAGATTTCTAGATGTGGAGTTGTGGGGATAAAGAGTAATCAGTATTTTCTGATCACTGATTTGTCAAAATCCTTTTCTCAAGGAAACCAGCATAGTAATCATAAGTTAATTTAGTTTTTCTTAATACCTCTAGGAGAAAATAGATTTTCAGCATGCTCATGGGTTACAAGAATTGGAATTTATTCGAGGACATTCTGATACAGAAGCAGCAAGACTATGTGTGGACCAATGGCTAAAAATGCCAGGTACTCTTTAGAGACTACATTAAGGTTACTGAGCTTCCCCAGAACCTAAATGTGGAGAGTAATCTGTTTTATTCAGTTGCTAATGATCATATAAAGTATTGAAATTTAGTTTCAATGATCTAATACCACCTCATAATGGGTTGTTTTATAGTGGCCTACTTTACTAATTGTCTTCCTTCTTTATCCCACATATATTTGAGTATAAACAACATAAGTCATCCCGGAGCTTATTAGCTATCACTCATTTATTCATTCATATATTGAATACTTATTGCATGAACTAGTACATGTGTCTACAGGAGTATGTCTAATAGGTTATTTGCAGTCAGGAAAGGCTTTGCTAAGGAAATGGAATTCAAACTGATATCTAGATGATTAATGTTTACTTTATCAGTGCAGCCTTTGTAGATATTTTGTAAAGAATGTCCTCAGAGGAGACTTGTCTAAAGCATTGGGTAGCTTATTCATTATTAATTTCTTTGCAGACCTGAGATTCCTAGTAGAGTTGCTGTGTGACCTTCTCCCCTGACCTTATAATTTGGTAGAATTTTCAAGAGCTAGTATAGTAGGAGAGCCCCACTGTGGCAATGTTTATTAGCCTGTCTTATAGAATATCTATTGAGACCTTAAGGGCTTGGGATATCCACAGATACCGCAGCTATGGATTTAGTCTAGCAGACGGTTTACTTGCAGGAAGTCATCAGAAATATCTATGCATAGTATGCTTACCTTTGTTGAACTTAGAAATCTTGTGTTTTAAAGTTAATTTTCAAGGGGCTTTGCTTTGAATAGCATCAACTTCTACATATAAAAGAATTCTAATAATGTATATTTATTGGTATTTAGTAGTTCATCCCATTTGATACCTAATATAATACAATAGATTTTTTGACATTTGGCCACCTTCTCAAACTATAGTCCTCCTTATCTCTCAGTCTGCTTCCTAGCAAACTTCTACCCACCTCCCATCCCTTTTAAATAATTTTTTCCTCTGTTTTTCTTACTTGCCTGCACGTGGCCCATAGATAATACTCAATAAAGCACTAAGAGATTGGTGAGTTAATATCACCAATACGTGTTGTATATCACATCAGTCTCTGAAATAAGCCTATCTAGATTTATTCTACATAAATTTGGTTACTCAGCTACCTTTGATCTCACAGTACTTCATTCATTTCTTTAATACAGTGTTTAATATGTTAGATTGATCTGTTTATATGTTTGTCTCTTCCACTAGACTGTGTATACCTTGGGGACAGAGACCAAATCCTACTAATCCTTTTTTGTGTCAATTTCTTAAAAGAGTTCCCAGCTTAGAAATACTCAAAAAAATGTTGGCTGAATATTCTATAGGGGTGAGCTATAAATGTTTGCAATAATGAACACAGAAAGGAAGTGTGGAATTTGGGTTCCACATCTGACTGCTACTCAATTAAACAAAAGAATACTGTGGCATTCCAGATCTACTTTGGCAAAAGATACATAGAAAATGTGGTAAACGACTTTGCCTCTCTCCTGGGGTATTCTTTTAAAGCTTATAGTCTTTAAAAAATACAGTTCTTGTATTTGACAAGAACTGACTAGACAAGAACTTTACTAGACTTTGACAAGAAATGACTAGCTCAGTAGTTTCACCTTCTCTGCATCAGAATCACCTTGGATGTTTTAAACAGATGGGCAAACCTTCTCATCTCCAGAGATTCACTTGTAGTATTGAGTGGTGGATAGGAAAATGGGCTAGAACTATAAAACTTTATCATCTGTAAGATCTCTTCTAAAACTTGTTTATCTCATGAGTCTGACACTTTCAAGTCCTACATATAATGGTTGTTGGGCCAGTAATATGCCCTTAAGACTTAATCCCTGGCCTCCAGATTGTCAGAATATTTTAATATATTGTAAATTGAACTCTTGAGCATCTCTTTATGTATTTCCCTGAGCAGGTCAAGAGGGAACAAATGAGTTAGTTGTCTTTATTGTACTTGTAGGCCTTGGTATTTTGTATGTCTTCAGGTCACACTGGGCTCATTGATAGCTAAAGATTTTGAGTTTGGAGTTGAGGTCTGTAATTATGTTCTTTCTTGTGATTGGCTCAGCTTCTTGCTTGGTTCCTGAAGCAGTGTAAAAATAAAGCTTAGGAGCTATTGCTTAAACAGTTACTCTAGTATTGAGCTGTATTAAGTATGGTGCTATTCCATAAATGGACTTTAGAGATTTCTGATATTTTTTAAAGGAGTATAGTTGGGAAAAACAGGAGTCAGGTCATTGTTCTCTTTAATTATAAAAAGTGAGATTCTACTTCTCAATAGCAATAAAGGATTCAATTTACCTCAGAGTATAGTACTCACTATTATAATTCATTTCTTTGATTAGAAGCACTTTTAAGTACTTTATAATTGATCTATTCTTTATAGATCTTTACAGTTGAGCCAATTTGCATAAATTTGAAAACTCAGTAATTTTAAAACAATGCTTTCTATACTATTTAGGGAAACAGTTTTTTAAACATTTGTATTTATAAAAGTTCTTTAAACATCTGTATTTTAAAGGCCTTGTAAAGCCTTTCAATAGAGAAGCCTTATTTTCTTTCAAGGGATTTTTTCCAACTTTATTTTTATCTGGAGCCTTTATTTCTAGCTAAGTAAAGGTCCTAATGGCAGACATCTGGAATATGGATGGACAGTTATAAAAATAGTCATAATTCTGATTGCTGCATTAAAAAAGATAAACAGGTGTATTGTCATTCAGTGCTTTCTTGAGCCTAAGGTATGGTTGTCCTTAAGACTAATGTTAGGCTGTCCATTACTGTCAGAATGTATTTATAAACATTTGGACAGTTTGGTAGAAATATTCCCCCATAAAGACTAAAACAGAAGAAAAATGGTTAAAACCTTAAACCTATATAACCATTTGGGTATTTTAAAACTAGATTATGTTAAGAGAATAATGCTATTCTAATTAAATGCTCGGGGGCTTTGTAGAAACTGACATAAAGGTAAATACCCAGTTGGGTTTTTTTTTGGCAGGGTCTCACTTTATTGCCCTTGGTAGAGTGCCGTGGCGTCACACCGCTCACAGCAGCCTCCAACTGCTGGGCATAGGCAATTCTCTTGCTTCAGACTACAGACGCCCGCCACAACACCCGGCTATTTTTTTGTTGCAGTTTGGCAGGGGCCGGTTCAAACTCACCACCCTTGGTATATGGGGCCGGCGCCCTACTCACTTAGCCACAGGTGCCCCCAGTTGGGTTTTTTTGTTTTGTTTGAGACAGGGTCTCTCTATTATTACAAAAGAGAAATAGTAATCCAACTGTGTATCAGAATCCTGGCAGTTGTTTTTTTATGCAGCATAACCCTATGTATTTTTCATCATATGTCATGTATTGGGAATTTCCCTGAGAATGAAATTTGGCCATAGGGATTAGTTTACAAGAGTTGTGTGATTTTTAAGACCAGGATTATAAAGGAAGAGATGAAGATCATGATAAAGAGGAATTAATTAAGAGAAGTTTGGTGGGCAAACTGATGTACTTTCTAATTGGTTATTTGAAGGGACAAAGTAAAATAAATAAAAAGAGGAAAGATATCAATAATAAGTGAATCTCTGCTTTGTGTTCCATAAATCTGTTCTTACTGACACCTGCATTACTTGAAGTCCAGATTGGAGCAATTGATCTCAGTGGCTGGATTTCTCAGAAAGTAACACTCTTCTCCTCCTCCCTGTCACTCTGCCTTCTCCACCCCACTTAGAATGTTTAACATAATTTTCTAAACATAATTTTCATAGAGCCTAGGCCCTCGATAGTATAACTAAGCCTTATAATAAATACACTTAACATGTTTTAAAGAGACTAAGGATTAGAAAATCTTTGCAAATTCATACAAATGAAATGAATGGAGTAGGGTCTTGACTTTCTAAAGCATTTTAGCATTTTTTGTTTGTTAGCCTTAAGGAAATGGATTTTTTCCTGAGAATGCTACTTGGAGATGTTAAGGGCATTTTGGGGGGTTACAAGTAACTATTACTTTTAGGTTATTAACATCATTTAAGAGAGAGGCTATAAACAATTATAATTAGGACCATTCAGCTTATGCTATATCATAATTTTTCCCAGTCTGAAATAACTGCAGAAACTTAAGAGTTTATATTGTAATGATGCAGGACTCAAAACAGGCACAATTAATTCTGGAACAAAAAATTCATTCCGAAGAAGAGGCCAAACAATGGTATCTGGGAAGCCACTTACATGTCCTATAATGCATTGTAACAAGGAATTTGACAATGGGCACCTTCTCTTAGGACATTTGAAAAGGTAAGTAGGATGTTCAGAATAGTGGATGCTGAAAGCGACATACTTCTCTGTCAGTTATTATTATAGCATTATATGTATTCCAGACTTGAATTGTTGTTGTTTTTTTTGCCATTATGATATAATTATTTCTAATTTATATTTCTTAAGTTTCCTAGAAGGCTTGGTGAAGTCACATTTTTCTAATGGTATTCTGTTTTTTTTTTTTTTTTTTTTTTTTTGGAGACTTGCTTGCCCAAGGCTAGAGTAAGTGCCATGGTGTCAGCGTAACTAATAGCAACCTTAAACTCCTGGGTTCAAGTGATCCTGCTGCTGAAGCCTCCCAAGTAGCTGGGACTACAGGCACCTGCCACATCACCTGGCTACTTTTTTCTATTTTTAGTAGAGAAGGGGTCTCACTATTGTTCAGGCTGGTCTTGAACTCCTGAACTCAAGAGATCTTCCTGCTTCAGCCTCGTAGAGTGCTAGGATTATAGGTAATATTCTTTTTTCTTTATGAGTATGGTTTTTAAGTATGTGTTTTCCCCTAGTCTAGTTCATAAAATGCTGATAGATTTTTTGACATTGAAGATAGGTTTTTTTACACATCTTTCAGCTTTAGAGAGATGTAGCTTATAAATATAAATTTCAAGAGACACAGAGCACTTAACAGATAATTTGGTCTAGTCTGAAGAAAGTTAACATGTCATTACAGAATAAAGGCTTAAGGCAAATCAATGTAAGCAAAATTAATAATAAAGAAAAATTTTATTTATGAAACTCATTTTATCAATTTATTGAGTTTTCAAATAGTGGAGCTTAAGAAAGTGGGTCTCAAGGGAATGTGCTTTTAAAGGTATTAAACACTCTTTTCCATAGTCTCCCTTTATAACAGTAGCTGAAAGATGAGAACTGGACAGTTTGGCTCTCTAAGCCATTGTCTTTTCCAGATGTGTCACTGTAATGGGTAAGATGAAAATTAAAAGGATTTAAAAGCCATTCATAGGAAATAAAAGTGTGCCAGAAATATTAATGTGAGATTATTATTACAGTGGTCTATTTAAGTTTATCTGTGAGACTTAGGGTAACCAAAGCAAGAAGTAAAAGATGATGGGCTTGTATTTTTCAAACTGGAAGCTTTATTAGTTTGGCAAGAAACTCCTAAATTGATTTTGCTGGATTGTGAGTATTTTTGCTTATTTTTTTTGAAACAGAATCTCACTCTGTCACCCAGGCTGGAGTGCAGTGGTGGTATCATAGCTCACTGCAACTTCAAACTCCTGAGCTCAAGTGATCTTCTGCCTCAGCCTTCCAAGTAGCTGGGAGTGCAGACGCCTGCCACTGTACCTGGCTAGTTTTTCCATCTCAGTAGAGACAGAGTCTTGTTCTTGCTTAGGCTGTTCTCCAACTGGATTGAGTACCTTTATGAAATCTTGAGCTTACTGGTCATCATTATCTGAGGGGGTTACCTGTTATGCGGGAGTCACTTGATATGTCTTAAATATGAAGAACATTATTTAATTTTCAAGTAGAAAAGTGTAACATTCTGGCTCGGCGCCTATAGCTCAACCGGCTAAGGCGCCAGCCACGTACACCTAAGCTGTCGGGTTCGAATCCCCAGCCCGGACCCGCCAAACAACGATGATGGCTGCAACCAAAAAATAGCCGGGCGTTGTGGCGGGCGCCTGTGGTCCCAGCTACTTGGGAGGCGGAGGCAGGAGACTCGCTTGAGCCCAGGAGTTGGAGGTTGCTGTGAGCTGTAATGCCATGGCACTCTGCCCAGGGGGACAGCTTGAGGCTCTGTCTCAAAAAAAAAAAAAAAAGAAAAGTGTAACATTCTGCATGTATTTATGTGTTTAGCTTTACAAATGAAACAACATAGTTTTTCCCTGGAATGCAGATTTTTCTTACATTACCACTCTCTTCTGAGCAGGTTTGATCACTCTCCATGTGATCCAACAATTACACTACACGGACCTTTTTTCAGTTCCTTTGCTTGTGTAGTATGTTACAAAAACTTTGTTACTCAAGAGCAATATAAGGATCACCTTTCTACTAAGGTAAGAGCCATGTCCTAAGTTAAGAGTATTCTTTTTCTGGGTAGCCATCAAGTTGGGTGTGGAGGTTTTTTCCTGCTGCTCTTAAACTTAACAATCACTAGTGATATACATATGGATAAAAATTATGATTGTCTATTGAAATAAAATGATTTAGGCCATTGAATTAATGTTCACAGGTAAAATTGGTGGCTGAGAGCCAGCAGTCCTTGAGATTATCATTGAGATTATCATCAAAATTCTTCTTTTCTGCTCAGCGTCAGCCATATATACACCGAGGCTGACGGGTTTGAACCCATCCCAGGCCAGCTAAACAACAATAACAACTGCAACAAAAAATAGCTGGGCGTTTTGGCAGGTGCTTGTAGTTCCAGCTACATGGGAAGTTGAGGCAAGAGAATCACTTAAGCCCAAGAATTTGAGGTTACTGTGAGCTGTGATGCCACGGCACTCTACCAAGGGCAACGGTGAGACTATCTTGGAGTTGCTTTATGAAATTATTGTAAAGTATTTTCTTTAAGATCCTTTATGAGCTAGATGATGAGAACTAAAAACCTATATATAAATATATATTTTAAAGACAGAGTCTCACTTTGTTGCCTTCAGTACAATGCCATGACGTCTTAGCTCACAACAACCTCAAACTCTTGGGCTCAAGTGATCCTCTTGCCTCAGCCTCCCGAGTAGCTGGGACTACAGGCACCCACCACAATGCCCAGCTATTTTTTAGAGACGGGAGTCTCACTCTAGCTCAGGCTGGTCTTGAACCTGTGAGCTCAGGCACTCCACCTGCCTCAGCCTCCCAAGTGCTGTTCTCTTATTTTTGAGGCAGAATCTTGCTCTGTTGCCCCTGGCTAGAGTGCAGTGGCATCAGCCTAGCTCATTGCAACCTCAGATTCCTGTGCTAAAGTGTTTCTCCTGCATCAGCCTCTCATGTAGCTGGGGCCACAGATGTGCTTTACCATACCCAGCTAACTTTTTCTATTTTTAGTAGAGATAGAGTCTCGTTCTTGTTCAGCTTGGTCTTGAACTCCTGAGCTCGAGCAGTCCTCCTGCCTTGGATTCCCAGAGTGCTAGGATTACAGGCATGATCCCCTGTATGTGACCTAAAAATCTACTAGGCCAGGCATGGTGGCTCACGCCTGTAGTCCCAGCGCTGTGAGAGGCCGAGGCGGGTGGATCACCTGTGCTTAGAGGTTCGAGACCAGCTACGACACCCCCCCCCCCGAGCCAAATGAGCCAGAGTGAGACCCCATCTCTACAACAACAACAGGACAACGAGACAGCCAGACCTTGTGATCCCAGCTCCATGGGGGCAAGAAAACACTACAGGAGGAAGAAGTAATAAAAAAAGTCTACTACATTTCACTGCCTATTGAAATGTTGGGGCCAGGGAGAAAGGAACAACTTCTTTATTAATGCTAGAATTAAGAAATAGATCTAATATTTAAAGGGCTGTGTCTCTTATTAAGTGTTAAGTCTCAAGGGACATGAGTTGATTCATGGACATGCAAATCCATGTAATGTAGCACTCTAATAGATTTTTATCATATTTGATAGTAGATATATTTTTAATGACTAACACTGCAAAAATATTACATGTTTATTGTGGAAAAAATTTTAAACGTTAACCAAAAATGTAAGAAATAATCCTTAATTTCACAGAGATAACCACTAACATTTTAATATATATATTTTTATTGTTTCTCCATATATAATTGTTTTTTCATAAGATATCTAAATTGTTTTGTAAGCAGTAATGTGTTGTAAACATAAATGCTTAAGTATTTGTTGAATCATTGCATATGTATTTCTGCATTTTAAATCAACAAATAGGGCGGTGCCTGTGGCTCAGTGAGTAGGGTGCCAGCCCCATATACTGAGGGTGGCAGGTTCAAACCTGGCCCTGGCCAAACTGCAACAAAAAAATAGCTGGGCGTTCTGGTGGGCACCTATAGTCCCAGCTACTCGGGGGGCTGAGGCAAGAGAATTGCCTAAGCCCAGGAGTTGGAGGTTGCT